ACCTCCTGTGCTAGTAGTGCCATGACAGCTGTATCAAAATTAAAATGTCTTTTCCTGTGGGTTTTTTTCCATGTTGTTTTTCTACAAGAGCAAAAGTCAACATGACAAGTTTGCTGAGCCCTGTTTCTCTCTCTTTTTTATCTATGTAACCAATGCCAATGGAAACATTAGCCACTCTTTCAAACAGCAAGCTGCAGAGGCCAGCAAAATACATGTGGTTTGTTCTTGATACTTATTACATTAAAATTATGCCTCCTTGCCTTTTTCCTTCCTTTTATTTTTAAGAACAGTAAAACGTAGTGGATGTTTGAGGGAAGATTCCCAGATGAAACACTTTCTAAGTGTTGTTTTGATAACAGGAAAGCCAAGAGTAGATTCTCAGCTGCTTGCATGGATGTGGCTCCTTCCTGAGAGTGGGGATTGACGCCAGGGTAGATCTAGTCCTTTGGGTTCAAAGAGCAACCCATATAGAGTTTCTGCTCCCTGCCTGTCTTCCATTTAATGGGCAAACAAGTGTTATCTATTGTTAGCTCTGCAGAGACAAAAGTGCAGGGGGGAAAGGTGGATGGTGCCCTGCCCTGTAGTACTGCATTTGTGTGTAAGTTACTACACAAGTCCTGATACATGTGTGTTCTGGGTTTAGGTTTTTTAGCTATAAATGTGTGTATTATGATACATATATCACACTTTGCTGCAGTCAGTGAAGTTCTGGTAGACTGTGCATTATCTAAAGAAGAAGGAGCCAGCTCCTGTTCCCTCGTACTGCCCTCCATGGGCCCCAGACTCAAGGGGTGTGAGGGATAGAGATGCTCCCAAATGCACGACAGAAATCTCTCCCCAGGAGGCATCATGTTCTTGCAGCAGGAGTGCCTGTGTGTCATGGTTCCAGATGCATTTGTTTCTTAGTAGGCTTCAGATTTTAATTTATAGAATGTTAAGGGTAGGAAGGAACCCCAAACATCATCCATTGCTGACTCATATTCAACCTTCCATCAACCAGGACCCCAGGTCCCTTTCTGTGGTGCTGCTTTCCAGCCTCTCATTCCCCAGTCTGTCTCTACATCCTCTCTACACCCTCTCTACACCCCATCCCATGTGCAAAATCTTACACTTCCCCTTGTTGCACTTCAAGTTGGTGATTGTTCAATCCCCTTATTTCTCTTCTAATTTGGTCATTTTGATGCAGCCCTGGATTCAGTTGGCTTTCTGGGCTGCCAGATAAAACTAAACTTACTAAACTAAAATAAAATAAGCAAAAAAATTATTTAAAAAACCCTAAGCTAACTAGGTTTTCTAGACTGCCAGCTCATGTTGAGTTTTTAATAAGGCATCACTCACAAATCCTTTTCTGCATAAAATATCTATTTTGTATTTTTCCTGTCAGTGTCCATGTCTCATTGCTTTGAGCTTACTTGGTTGATTGAGACTATAGAGGAAGCTGTTTTTATGTTGGGGGTTTTATCACGGAAAAGTTAAGTTAATTCAGGGAGTATAGGGTTTTTTGCCACTTCTTGCAGAATATTTCAGCTCTCTGAGGGACAGATGCTGTTGCTTTCATTTTTGCATCTGTCTGCATGGTGCAAGTCTCCCTTGACCCTAGTCCTGGAAAGCTTGAACAGTTACATCAAGAAGTAGGGATTCAGTCAGCAATTCAGAAAATATCCCTGTGGAGGAGCCATATCACTGGGGGAGGTGCAGGAAAACTTCAGCCAAGCCTTAGGAACTGGGAACATCCAAACCTACACTGCCATTATAATATGTTCTTCAGAGCATTGGTCTCTTTTTTTCACTTACTATCTTTCAGCTGGATGAAAATTATAACCCTTTCAACATATAATTAGTACCCCCCCATAAACACTGTGCATGGTTTAAAAACTCCTCTAAGCTCTTGTACTGCAGCAGAAATATCCTGTAAAGGTGGGTGAAAGGGCTATTTTTATGCTGGAGGATGAAGGTGCTCTGCATACACACTTGTCTGCAGGTGTGGAGGACCAGATTTACACAGGAGCAGCGCAGGTGCAGGTCCTTGAGGGTCTGTGAGAGTTGGGGTTCTACAGCCTGGAGAAGAGGAGGATCTGGGGGGGACTGTAGAGCAGCCTTCCAGTACACAAAGTTTTACAAAAAAGTTTACAAAAAAGATGGAGAGGGATTTTTTACAAGGACAAGGAGTAGTGGCTTTAAACTGAACTAGTGCAGACTGAGATTAGATATTAGGAAGAAATTATTCTCTGTGAGGGTGGTGAGACACTGAAACAGGTTGTTCTGTGAAGAAGTGATGGATGTCCCAATTCTGGAAGTGTTCAAGGCCAGGCTGGATGAGGCTTTGGGCAACCTGATCTAGTGAAAGGTGTCCCTGCCCATGGCAGAGGGATTGAAAGTAGGTGATCTTTAAGGTCCCTTTGAACCAGAACCATTCTATGATTCTATGATCCTGCCTGGCTGTCTCTGCCAGCTCTTTAGGGAATCAGCACAATGGTTTTTGGGTTTTTTTTAAATGTTTTGTGACCATTAAAATGCATGTGTTGTATTGTCCCCTTTTGTGAAAAGCCTTTTGTAAGATTTAAGAACCATTAAAATCTTTCAGGTGCATGCATTTTTGTCAGAGCAATACAAAGAAATGCACAACACAGTGTTGAGAGATATCTTTTTAAACTGCAAACCCAAATTTTATGTAGTATTGTACAAACATTGCCATTAAGTGAAAGAATACATCTGTAAATTATGATACAATTTCATTGGTGGGTGTTGACATGAAGTGTCAGCCTTCTATATTGGATTAATATGTGGGATTATGTGCAACACATGTAGCAATCAGTGGGTTTTTAAAATTCATCACATTATTCTTGTTTTGTTAAACAGTCACAGGTTTCCTAGCTAATTGTGAATATCTTCTTTTCATGGCATGAGTTTTAGACAGTGGAGGCTGCCTTATTCTATTGTAATAACTTTGAGCCCTCTTCACTGCTTTGCACTGAGGCCCAGGGGGCAGCTCAGGATCTCAGAGGGCTTTGCCCCTAATAGCATCTGCCCAAGAAAGCTCCAATGCAGTGCCAGTGCTGGAGAGGTTGTTGGTAAACCGTGCTGGAGATGCCCTACTCATTAAATGTGTGCAAGCCAGCACTGGCTGTTGTTGATCCCAGGCTCACAGAATGATTAGAAGGGACCACTGAAGGTCATCTAGTTCATCTTCCCTGCTCAAGCAGGGTTCCCCAGAACACGTTACTCAGGATTGTGTCCAAAGAGCTTTTGATTAACTGCAGATAAGGACACTCCACAATCTTTCTGGGCAGCTTGTTGCAGTTCTCTGTCACCCTTAGAATAAAGAAGCTTTTCCTCATGTTCAGGTGGAACTTTCTATGCACCAGTTTCTGCCATTGCCTCTTGTCCTATTACCTGGCACCACTGGGAAGAGCCTGGCTGCATCCTTTTGATACCCTCCCTTCAGATACTGATACACATTGATGAAGTTCCCTCTCAGTACAGGCCCAGCTCCCTCAGCCATTCCTCAAAACTGAGGTGTTCCAATCCCCTAATAATCTTTGTATCCCTTCATTGGACCCACTCCAGGAGTTTCATGTCTCTCTTGCACTGAACTGGACCGAGAACTCCAGATGTGGCCTCACTAGAGCTGAGTACAGGGGCAGGATCACTTGACCTGCTGGCCACATTGTTCCTGTCACCCCAGGATACCTTTGGCCTTCCTGGCCACAAGGGCACCCTGCTGGCTCATGGACATTTTGTTGTCCACCAGGACCTTCTCTGCAGAGCTGCTTCCCAGCAGGGCAGCCCCCAGCCTGTACTGGTGGTCCCCGGGTTCCTCAACAGGTGCAGGATCTGCATTTGCCTTTGCTGGGTTTCAGATGGTTCTCTTCCCATCCCTCCAGCCTGCCCAGGTCCTTCTGAAAGACTGCCCGGCCCTCTGGGGCATCGGCTGCTCCTCCCAGCTTTGTGCCACCAGTGAACTTGCTGAGGAGGCATTTGTCCCTTCATCCAAGTTACTGCTGGATAAGTTAGATGATACTGGACATAGTATTGATCCTTGGGGAACACCATGAGCTAGAGGCCTCCAAGTAGACTCTGTGTTGCTGACCACAACCTTCTGAGATCTGGTGTTCAGAGAGTTTTCTTTCCACCTCACTGTCCACTCATCTTCTGATGAGCTCAGAAACATTTTCTTGTTGCTGACACTTTGTCTTTCCTCCCTGCTTCTCACAGGTGAAAGTCTTTTCCTTCTTCAGCATCTTCTGTGTCCTACTCCTGGTGCATTCATGTGTTGTAGGGCTCTGGTAAAGTGGAGAGAGAAAAAAAAAAAAAGGAAATTTGGAGGATGGAGTGGATTGTAGCTAGAGTTACAAGGAAATTTAAGACACTGGTGTTGTGTCTCTTCCTGCAGGAGAAGGCTGCACAGGCGAGTCAGAATCAGATGGAAGCATGTGCTGCTTTGTCCCCCTTCCCACGATGTTTTGCTGGGAGCAGATGGGGAGGCTGGCATGCAGGCTGGCAGAGGGAGCACATCCCGAGGCTGAGGGGCCCGAGGCCGAGCTGGCCAGGCAGCTCTGGGGGCCAGCCCCCAGCCCCGCACGGCTGCTGCCCCTCATCACCGCAGCAGGACCGCTGCTGCCTCGCCCAGTCCGGGCAGAGTGTGGGTGACCAAGCATGTGTCACTGCGGCCGTGAATAAAACTTCAGCTATGCGTCATTTAGAAAGACCCTAATTTTAGCTAGCCACCGTGTCGCTGGGGTGCCCCAGCACCCTCGGAGGGCAGCTTTTGTGCCCCTTTGCTCGAGCAGACCAGGTGTATAATGTCTCTTTCCTGCCGGAGGCTGGGGACGCGGAGGCGGAGCGGGACAGGGTTAGGAGCGCGGCCAGCCCCGCCGGCCCGCGGAGCTCGGGCTGCCCGGGCCGCGGCGTGCGCGCAGGGTGACAGATGACCTGTGGAAACCATTCCGGAGCCGGGCCGGCGTTGCCGGGACAACCAGCGCTCCCGGGCCATGTGACGGCCGCCTTGACGTCAGCCGGGGGCTGAGCCTGCGGTCCGGCCGCGCCGTCAAAGCGTGAGAGCCGCTGGATGCTGGAGTCATCCCCGCCGCCGCCGCCGCCGCTGCCGAATCCCAGGGGCTGCCGGAGCATGGACTATTAAAAACTTGCATTTCTGCGGTGTGAGGTAACCATTTGTTTTATGTTCTCATCACGTTTGGATTGTTTTCCTTAAAAAAAAAAAAATAGAATAGAAAGCAGCTCGTATCAGTGAATGATTTTTTTTTTCACTTGTTTGTTTTGGCTGGAAGTTTGTCTTGATGAACAAGCCCAGCGCTATCAGATAAATGCAAAGCAGCTTCCAGTTACTAATGCTGTGTGTAGACGGCAAAACGGAGTTAAATATAGATGAATGATCCGTGAAAGGAGAATAAAATTATATCGCTCTCATTTGACACTTTAGAATATAAATGAACGTGAGTAATCCTAGGCTAATGCATTCGGGAGCTAAAAGAAATTATGTTTAGGCATTGTGGTCTTTATACCTCTGCTGGAATTTGTTGGTTTTTAATTCTGCCCGGTTCAGGCGGGTTTGAGCCCAGCGTGTCCAGTGAGGGAAAGCCAGCAGTCAATGCAGCCAGGAACAGCTTAAAATCCAACTCTCAAAGTTGGAGCATTTAAATCATCTTTGTTCACGCGGAGTCCCTGCACCCTGCGCGCTCCCCGGGCTTTCTGCCCCTCTCCTGTGGCACGCGGCACTCCTGACTGTACACTGTTTACAGAGGAAAGAATCAAAACCTTCCTGAAAAATTATCTGAAATATGCCAAGACAGCAGCACTGCTGTAACACAGGCTTTTACCCTTTTTCTCACAAGCACACATACACAGGGCTTTTTTCTCTCTCTTTTTTTTTTTTTCTGTTGTGCATTGAGATCCGTTAGAATAGCTAAAAAAAGAACTGCAGCATGAGCAGCATGATTTTTCAATCAGTGATTTCACCCTGATTGAAAAATGAAATGCTGTTTGAGTTTTTTTATAAAAACACGAGGGAGTTTGTTTCTGTATCGTGCTTACTCCGAGGTGGCTGTTGTGGGGAAGGATATCCCAGAGCTCCTGAAGTTCAGTGCCACAGGCTGAGTTTGTTTGTGTGGGAACATATAGATTTGTTTTAAGAACAGATTACAGCTGAAGCATCACGTGCATTGTTTCCTGGAAAAGTATGTTAGATCTTTCTTATCTTCTTTAATTATATACTCCCGTTCCCTTCCTCCCAAAGTTCAAAGGGTTTATCAATAATGGTAATGATTCTCTAAAGCAGCTGCTGTCTAAAACGATGTGGAGCTACAAAACAATTTAAACCATGGAGCAGTAAAATATTTTTTTTTTAATTCTATAAAAATTATTCTAATATTATCAAATGCAGCAAAAGTAATTGTTTCAGAAAAAGAGCCAAGACGGACATTAAAACTGAAGGCACTTCTCTAAGGAAGTTATGGCTTAGTGCTCTGGATTTCACTGTATTTGGCATTCTTAACAGAGAACAAGGATAAATGCTGAAATATCTAAGCCGCCTGAAACGTTTGAAAAATCTAAACCATTTCACTTGGTGTTATCTCATCAGTCCTTTCCAATTCAACTGATGCCCTAAGACATTATTGTTGCGGGGCTGAAATATTTCAAATTATCTTTATTAAATTCTTCACCTGATGCCACTGCACCAGTGCATGGGGAGTCTTGCCTGGCTCCTCACAGGTGAGTTTTACCCAGGTTTGCAGGAGCCTCGCAGTGCTGGAGGTGCTGGCACCCACGCACAGCCTTGCCACGGGGAGTGACGGGCGCTCACTGTCCCTTCCCCGTGACCTGCCTGGGCTGAGCTGGGCACAGCTGCTGTGGGGAGCCGTGTTCCAGCCCCTGGCATTCATCCCCCTCCATCTGCATGTGAGTTCCCCAGACTGTAGAGCTGGGCTAGAAGGGGAGGACAGGGAGGTGGTTTTTACAGCCCACCACCCTCTGAGGTCTGCTTGTTCTCCAGCTTATACTGCTGGGGTAAGTCTGCAGAGGGACTAGGGCATGGACTATGGGGACAGATTTGAGCTGAGTGGCACCTGCCATTCAAGAGAACTCATTCACCATCACATCTGCAGGATTTAATTCCATGTGTAGCTGCCATCACCTCCCAGATTGGACTAGGGTGATAATGCTCAGTGTGGGCTGAGGCTTATGCTCATTCATTTAGGCTTGAATACAGTGTCCTGTAGCATATGATGCCTTGAAACCACCTGTAAGTGGAAAAATAATTGATGCAACTTTAGCTCAAGAGCTATTCATTAGAAATGTCTTTAAAATACCTTCCTCATTGCCAGGTGGAATAGAGATATCTTTCTTTAGTGATACTGAGGTAATCCTGAAAAGGCTCTAACTTTACCTTAGAGCAAAGGATGGTAAAATGTGTCACATTTTAGCAGAAGGGTCCTGTACATGCTGTTGCAAGAGATCTGAGAGGCAATGTTATAGGGGAAGCCGGTAAGTGCCACTGAGATTGCACAGGGATGCATCCTGCCTTGGCAGAGTGACAGCTCTATCCCCTCTTGGTGAGTCTTTGGGGGCTTTGCAGGCGGTGCCAGAGTCTGCAACTGGAGGTGACACAGATCCCTGCTCAGGAGGGAAGGGAATGGTGTGTGAGAGTCATCCTGGGGCTATGTGCCTCTGCTTGATGCAGTGATGTTGTGATGCTCTTGTTGTCACTGGTCAGCTCTGTAGCAAACCCTTTGGACAAGCACTGAGGTTTACCCTGGCAGTGTGTGAAGCTGCCAGGCAATGTAATGCTAAGCATCCCACCATCTCTGAGCTGCCATGTTTCCACACACCATGAGAAAAGAGCAAACAGCCTGTAGGTTCCTTCCCATCACCGGGAGGGGAAGGTGGCTGCAGCCCATCCTTCACATTCTGCCCAACACTGACACTGCCAGCTAACTTGGGCTTGAAATCCTCTGGCATAGGGATTAAAAAAGTGAGATGCACATGGGCTTGGCGACACTTCACCTTCTTTTAGGGAGTCTAGACTGGCCCTCCTACTTCCCATCAGCCTTCATGTCATTTGCAGATGTCACCCCCTTGGCACACACATGATGAAGGGATGATCCCTTCCTGCAGTCTCCTTGTCCACGGCGAAGGGCGAGCAGACCTGCAATTCCCGAACTGGAGCGCTTCACCTTAGGAAAGATCTTGGCTGAAGTCACGTCTGAGATCTCCTCAAGTCACTTCTCACACAACTGCATACAGCAGAGAAATCAAAAACAGATGTGAGCTGTTGATGCCTCTGGCCTCATAATAATAACACTCAGTGTGCTCTACCTTGATCTGTTTGAGTTGATGGGCAATGACAATCTAAATTTAGGCCAGAATCATAATAAAACCTAAAATCCACTTGCAGTGCGGAACACTACTCCTTGAATTTTTTCAAACAGAATGCAATTTCTGCTGTCTTTCTAAAGGTCCTAGCTACTGCTGAGGCAATATCATGGGGGGAATAAAATCCTCTGTAGAGGGTGGCAGTTGTCAGTGGGAACTGATGCTTCAGGATGGAGTTTCAGGATCTTAAATTACTTATTGCAGAAGTTGGTTCTCACTCTGCTAAAAATCATTACATTGTGATAATTTAATATCTGCATCAACATTAGGAACAACTGGTTTAAATGATAACTGATCTAGAGTAGATCATTGGCATTTTAACTTACAGTTGTTTTTCCAATTAAACACAGATGCCATGTGTAGGGTACTCTGAATGCAAAATAAAAGTTGACCTGGCTGTTGCTTCCAAGCTAAAGCAACAAAAATCCTAACTCTGGAATGTTTTTGGTAGTCATATTTTAGAAATAATCTTCTGTGGTGAGCCAAAATCTGTACAGCCAGATAACAGCTTAAAAAATAGACTATGCTTTGGCTGTACTTTTCCTGCTGTTAAATCTATCTTCTTAAATATCAGGGAGTATGAGTTGAGGGTTGAGAAACAGTAATTTTGTAATTATTTTATATGGATTGAATTATTCTGTCATCAAATTTGCATTTCAGACAGCATTACAGTATGAAAATATAATTAGAAACTGTAATTCAGGAATTGCTGAATGTGATATTTCCCAGAGGGAGCACTGTGAAGAAGCTGCCCTTACTACAACTTTAGCAAATGTTGAAATTCTATAGGTGGGAAATGTGAAGGCTGAGTTGTAAAGTTCCGCTCCCTTCTGTGGTCTTCACATACTGTCAACTTGCTTCTTCATTTTTTTTATAAGATTCATTTCCACAAAATCATCTAATCATTACAAGCTGAAGGGCTCAGATCCTGTTCTGTTGAATTTCAGGCTGGCTGTGCTGATAGCTGCTGAATTGCTTTCAGCCACAAAATGACACTGAAATAATGTAAGGATCTGATTTACATGCAGAAAAAACAAGAAGCTTGTCATTTGGTATGAAATGCTGGTTTCAATTTGCCCAGCACCTGAAATTCCCAGCCACACCTCCTTTCACAGAAGGTAGCTGAGGATGGGTCTTGGTTTAGCTCTGTATATCTTCTTTTGTAGTTCACTATTTTTTGCAGTATGTGTTCACAGTGTTGTGCAAAGTTTTAGCTGTATAAAACCCACTAATGTCAATCGTTATATTTTTTATTCTTGTGACAATCTATGGTTTATCATAGACATACTAGCTGGAAACAAACGTGGCTTCTGTGTTTTAGCTGGGCTTGTATTGATAAATCCCATGTGCTTTTGTCTGAAACATGCACTTTTTAGAAGAGCATCTCCATGGCCAATTTTTCCCACCAACCTGTTGGGCATTGGTCAGGTCCTTATATGAAAGCAAGCCTGTGATGCACAAAGCAAGGATGGCACTGGGAGGAGACAGAAGCTGAGTGTGGGTCATGTTTGATGCTTTGATGTCCCCACACACCTGTCACAGTGCTGCTGAGTGACAGTCACAGTGCTACTGCAGAGGAAATGTCAGGATGGGAAAAGGAGAAGTGTGGATCTGTGACCCCAAGGATGGCATGGACACATGGGCTGGCTGGTGACATGGTTCCTAGTGACCCAGAGATACTGTCACCCCCAGAGTGCTCTGAGGATCGAGACATTTTGCCTGGGTGCTGGGGAAGATGTCTGTCCCATCACTCACATTTTGGGTGATGCACATCCT